CATATCAGACGTCTTTAGGAAGTCTGGTATTTCCTAAAAGACGTCTTAGAAGACGTCTGATGTTACAAAAGGGGACATCTTTAAGACGTCTTATTAATAGCTTATATTGGTCTGTAGAGCTTAAAATAAGTCATAAATAAGACGTCTTTCACAAGACCTATTAAAAGCTTATAATGGTCTTTTGAAGCCTTAAATAAGTCATAAATAGGACGTCTTTAAGACGACATTAATAGCTTATAATGGTCTTGTGAAACATTAGATAAGCCATAAATAAGATGTCTTTAAGACGACATTAATAGCTTACAATGGTCTTTAAGACGTCTTATTAATGGCTTATAATGGTCTAGTTAGCCTTAAGCTATAAATAACACGTTCATTATTTTTATTCCGCTAATTGTATAACCTGTCTATAATATAAAATAATTTAAAAATAGGTATCATCGTGCACGGAGGACGTCGAATATCTTGGTTAAAAAAATTAGTAGAATAACATTGCAGTTTATAAAGAATGCAAAAAAGAAAATTAAATATATTGTATTGATAAAATATCTATTAATCACAAGCCATTAAAAGTTATTATTTTCTTTGTAGCGCATTCGATCTCTCCTCTTTAGTCATAACTGGATTGATTTTTCTCTTTCTTTTTGATTTGCAGTTGCCTTTGTATTATTAGCAGCTCCTAAAAAGAAATTTAGGTAAAAGAGCATTCTAGTCACAGAAAAATGAATTTCTTAGAATTTTAAATTAATTAATTTTTATAACAAATCAATTAAGGCAAGATTATGCTTAATCGCCTACTTTGATAATTTTACTTTAACTTTACCCAAAATGGCTATCTAATAGGGGCTTTTGATATTAATAGTTTTCGAAATCTCCATAAAAACAAAAAAAAAAACATGATTATCGACGAATATCTGAATTCAATCTTATACTAAGATGTTTACTGTTACATTTATTTAATAATTATTACTTTGAAGAAACAGGATATTTAAATAGGTTATGGTTAAGCTACGGTATGTCACGCGCGAAAGAAAATTTAAAGCTTCGCCAATCAGGTCCTACCTTTAATTTCCTTGGCTTCCTGATGCATACTTCTTCTCTTGGCGCGTCCATCCTAAGCTGCAGGGGTCGTGGACTGTATTTTAGGGCTTGTATTTGAATATTCGGGAAAGCAAATTTGCGGGTTTGTATTGAATGATCACAAATCTTGAACACTCGTATGTACTCTATGACATTTGAGGCGATACTGAGGTTTCGCCCGGTCGAATTTAAGACTCTGTTCTTCGCCACGCGGATGTGGTCTTTTACCAATTAGGGCAATACCGCCTTGGCGAAGTAATGAGAATAATATATATGTGAAATATTACGTTTCATATTGGATGATAATTTTCAATTTAAATTTATACTAAATAAGTGAAAACTTAACAATATTAATGTTCTGTGTTCTATTAGGCAGATTTATGGAAGGTATTGTATTATTTTTTATTGAATCTTTTCATTTTGAAACGATTAAATCATCTTCATGAAAATGGGAGGAACAAATAGCGTTATTTGCACTTATATTTTCCAATGGATTTCTTTCAATAGCTATTAACCAAGAAGTATTCGTTTTTTCCTCAATCTAAAAAATGTATAACAATATCACGCAACGTTAGATACCTACATACGGGGCGTTACTGTACCACGATATTTCATTTTCTAGAAAATATAGTCTAAAAAACGTGGTAAATAAAGAATACGGTTCTGGTAGAAAAGATGTCTTACATGTGAAATGTAATGTTTTCTGAATCCTCGTTGTTTAAATAACCAAAAATATTTTATTAATTGTCTATAGTAAAAACTTCTTAAATTCTTCTAAATTCAATAAAATAGCGAATTTCAAAAAAAAAAAACCAAGAAGATCCAGACAGCACAAAAATATTGCATGGATATTCAATGCATATCTCAATTGCATACAATGTTAATAGTAACAACACTCCATTCTCAACATAACATAATAATAACAAGAAAAAAGAATACATTTGAGAATTTGGTTTGGAATAAAAAATGTCATTTCATTTATTTGTGAGTAATTTATTTTTGTATTGTTAATCTATTAAAATAAAAATTAATACGCTATATATTTTTTTGTTACTGTACTCTATATGGAGTTATAAGCCCAAATCTTCGAGCATATATTACTAGAGCCATCATCCAAATGGACTTTGTTTTGGTACAGGGGGGAAAAATAGTGTCCAGCATTCCCATTGGTCTGTTTCGTTTTGTTTGGCATGTCAAATCGTTCGAAATTGTCAGAACTGTCATTTGATTTTTAATTTTCAATAATTTTTAACTTATTTTTGTAGTTTATAAGTGAGTTTTTGTATTTTATTAGTTTAGTGATACAAATTTTAACAATGGTGAGAGTGTGTAAGTTTTAAATAGAAATATGACAACTATTAGAAATTAAAAATAAAAAAAAAACCGACTTTAAAAACATGCAGATGCCATCACCACATCTTAAACAAATTTTTATGGGACCACCCCTGAGGTATCCCCTAACTTACAAAAAAACAATCATATAAATCGGACAAGGTGGTAAAGCATTATCGCTAAACATACATAAAAAATGAAGAGTTTGAGGATTTCCTCATGGACCCAATTATTAGATTTTGACCAAATATATATGGGACCACCCCTGAAGTACTCCCTTTCTAACAAAAAAAGAATCATTGAAATCGGACACCGTGTTCAAAAATTTTCGCTTAACATACATAAAAAAAATATATCGCGACGAATTGATAACCTCCTCCTTTTTTGAAGTCGGTTAAAAAGGCATCGTCAAGGTTATTTCACAAGTAAGTAACCATTAGCGTCTCTACCATTTTTTTAAAAGAAACATAAGTATCTACATTTTATGCAAAAGGCCGTTAAACATGAATTTAAAATAAATGGTAAATTTAGGGAATTAAATTTAAAGAACTTGTATTATGTATGAGGAGCATTATTTTAGATTTTGGACACTACTGAAAAGTTGAAAAAATTATTATTATTATAATGTTGAAGATGTTAAATCAATAATTTTTGGTTTTCGTAGATTTCCAACTAATCCTGCCGAAAAACGCATTTGGTGAACCATATTGAAACATACCTACTCCTACTATGTTTATGTTAAAGACTGGATCTGGATAAAGTATAGTAAGTTAATCGAAAACTATAGGCTGCAGTTAAACCAATAGAAACATAAAAAATAATATAAATATAAATATTATTTTGTTTATAAAGATATATTAGAAGGATTAATTTTAATATTTTTACGGAAGAACTAGATTAATTCCAGGTGCATTGACATCAAGATTTACTGAGGCCCCAGAAGAAGATGAATCTAAAAGGTCAAGAATCCTGCACTTTTCTTGTGGGTTAATCGTTCAAAATTTTTAATTTTTTAGTGATGATCTGAACCATGAAGCCTTTGTTGCAGAGAAAGAAAATGCAGAATTAGAAAACATGTAAGTAACTAAGTACTTTTTAATACAACAAAGTTTATTTTCAAATACTTATTACTACCTATATTTTTTATAAATCACAAAAATTTAAAATAATTATATTTTATTAAATGTATTTATGTTCTTTAATTAAGTAGACTGCTAGACGTTAAGAAATAAGCAAAGCCTAATGTGAGTTTTTCAATAAAAAAGTCATTTTAAGCTTCTTTTATTTGCACTCCTAGTCATTAAGAAATAATCGAAGCTTAGTTTTCCAATAAAAATTAAGCTTCACTTATTTGTTAACGACTGGCAGTGCAAATGTACCTAAGTATTAGCTTGATTTCTATTTGTAGTATATTGTTTACGAACAATATTTTTATAATTAATAAATTCTTGGAAAAAATCCTTGTATTGTAATTCTCGTACACGTGTGTTAAAAGATATCATAAATATTTGTATAATATACCTACTATTTATTAATATTTTTAATTTTTAAATATAAGCTTTATATCTTTTTTAATGCCTATTATTTCAACCTTCATTTTTCCGTTATACACTTTCTGATGTTTGAATTTAAAAAATCTGATGTGTCGAACACAAATAATAATAATAATACCTATTACTAGATACCTACTTAAATAATGCAAGTTTATGAAATATGTGCATAATTTAAAGAATTTTGAAGGTATGTATCAAATTTATTATTTATATTAATTGCAAACCCCGTAAAACTGATGCGACACTGGTAATAGTGTCTACGTATTTCTCCTTTTAACCGAAACAAACGCTATTGAATGCGGACTCTATAAAATATATATGCTCGAAGGCCCAAATACCAAAATAAAATATTGTAATGCGAGCTATTTCATTATTCAGTCATGCTCTAATTCTCCAAGTCCCTCTCTGTCTTATTTGGCCTTTGAGGATCAACTTGTCCGAATATCATACATAATTAAACCCCTTAAGACCAAACATATGTGACGACTGTGGCGGATGTACTTTTACAGTATATTCCAGATATGAGATGTTTCTAGTTTGGCGGAGGAGCATTCTGGAAACCACCAAAATTTTAAATTTGTATATTAATATTGGTGGAGGAACAACGCAGTATCAATTTGTATATAGACAGTGAAGATAAATAGTGAACAGTTTAGTGACTTTCGAAATATGTAAATTAGAATAGTATTCTAATATAAATAAGTGTTTAAATAAATTATTAATAAATAAACAAACATCACAATATGGGTCCGTTTTCAAGAAATAAAAACAAAAACTATCCGAAATTAGGTCCTTCTCCCGCACATAAAAACTTTTTAAATCAATTTAAAATTAAGAATATTAAAACTAAATGTTACAAATACAAACGAGAACTTTGACCCTAAACAACCCCACCAACCCAAATAAATAAATAATATAAAATCCAAATAATTTTGGACAAGATCCACTTCTCGTTCTCCGTAAATATAGGGGTAAAATAAGCGGGTATCACAGGTTTGTTTGTATAGTTTAATATATTCGTCCCCTAGTTACAGTGTACACTTTGTATTAGGGGGAGTTTCATTCAAACGTTTAACGTTTTAAACATCAAATTTACGTCAAGTTTGAAGATTCAGGTGTGTGTGTCTGCAAAGCGGAACTGCTTGAAATGAAAAAGTTGATTACTTCCAAACCTGTAGCGAACCGAAAGTGTTATCCGCAGAGGTAAGAAAATATTACTAGAGAGATAAGTTTAAAAATACACAATAATGTTAAAATTAATATGTATTTTCTAAACGATTGGTATAGTACATTTCACCAATTTTCGCGTGTACCAGCAATAATATGCGACACACTTTGAGAGTTTCTACTTCAATTCGTTAACGTATGTTATTACTGTGAAGACTAGAATCGGCTGACTCGCGATACGGTACCAAAACCAAACGCTAATTGAGCTTTTGCAATTCGCCGCAATGGCGTTGGTGATCCAACTGATCATCCTAGAAATATTGGCGTCTTATAGGGATTTTTTTATTGCTAAATTATTGTGTTTAATTTTAAATAGGTCCGACTTATTTTAATAAATTATATATAGACCAGAGCATACTGGCGCATTCGTTTGCAAAATTGTTTTAATTAGTAATTTTTTTTTAAAATGTCCGGGAGGCTTTCCGGATTATAAAAGTGTAAGATGACACTCGATATCTGTTGATGTTATTGTTTAAACAACGAAAAATTAATTAAGTCAGAAAAAAATGCATTTTTTGCAATTAATTAATTTTTTTTTATTCTTTAGGATATTTCGAATAAAAAAAAATCCTTACGCCCATCATCGTATCTTCAACCCTTTAATTGTTATGAATTTTTTAAAATCCAAAATTGACGAAAATTCTAATTTTCTTGAATTAAATAATATACCTTAAAATTTAAAATGCTATAATTTTAAATGTTTTACTGAATATTCAAACTATAATAAACAAAATAACCTAAATAAATTTTCAAAATTTTGTTTGGTGTTATGTTTTTTTTACGTTATAACAATATTCTTCCTACGCGCGTGTACTTTTAGAGAGAAGTATTTCTATCTCACTTCCAACTCAATGTGTGGGTAAGAGAAAGCCCGATGACGCGCTTAATCAATTTTTTGCTGTTTTTCAGCCGTAATAGGTTTAAAAAAATTATTATTAATATTTTTCATAACACTCTGTTATATTTGCCGAATAATAGTTTTGTATCATAATCCAAATGATAATTATATAAAACAACTATATAAAAATTGTAAAAATAAACTAACTAATTTAATAAATAAAACTAAACAAAATTATTACATACAACGAATACAATTAGACAATCAAAATACGAAACGGTTATGCAACATTGTACGAAAAATTACAGGCACTAACACTAAAACAAAAACTATTGGCCCTATAAACGCCGATATAAACGATAACGGAGAACTCCTCATAAAAACTGTTGACATGGCTAATGAATTCAACACAAAATTTATAAATATGGGTTATAACCTTGCAAAAGACATTAAAAAAAATTCAAAATGTATTCCTAGTATCACGGGTTTACCGAACTTGTTTTAACACATACTGATGAAAAAGAAATATTATTTCTTATTAAAGAAGTCAAAAATAACAAATCCGTCGGAACTGACGAAATAAAAGCAGAACTTCTAAAATCGGTTGCAAATAATATAGTAAAACCACTTAAATATATTATAAATAAATGTTTAGATTCTGGTGTCTGGCTGGATGTATTTAATGAAATAATTGTGTGTCCCATATATAAAAAAGGCCATCGAACATCAGCCAGTAACTATAGACCGATTTCTTTGATTACTCACTTATCAAAAATATTTGAAAAGATTTTAAAAAACAGGTTAAATACCTTTATTAATAGATACGACCTAATCTCTAAAAATCAATATGGCTTTATAATAATATTTGTTTATTTAATAATGTTTGTTTATATTTTAATGACTATTTATGTATTTGTAATTTGTATACTATTTATACAATATTGTGTTTGTCTGAGTATTTATTTATTTGTAATTTGTACAATATTGTGTTTGTCAATAAGTATTTTAACTTGGACAATAAACGTATATTCTCTCTCTCTCTCTCTCTCTTTAAAGAAAAAGTTTCAACCGAAGATGCCATACTTACACTAACAGAAAAAATTCATGCATCACTAGAAAAAGGTAAACCTTGTCTTTTTCTTTTTATTGACCATAGCAAAGCGTTTGACACTGTTGATCGTTGTTTACTATTAACAACTTTAGAAAGAAACGGAATAAGAGGAAATTGTTTAAACATTTTTGAAAATTACCTTAAAAAAAGAAAACAATTAGTTAAAGTGGGTAACGATCTCAGTGATCGCCAATATATAAAATGTGGTGTGCCCCAAGGTACTGTTTTGGGCCCTGTCTTATTTAATTTATATGTTAATGATTTATTTAATCTCAACAGTGCTGGAGACATTATTGGATATGCCGATGATACCGCAATTTTTTATGAGGCGGAAATCTGGATTGAGCTGAAAACCAAAGTTCAGCTTGATTTTCGTCTTATAAAGAACTGGTTCGATCAAAAGTTATTGACAGTTAACCTAGACCAAACAAATTTCTTACCGTTTAGTTGCAATATTACCAGCTCTTCGCCTTTTGAAATACTGGAAATTCAGTCACAAGAAGACGTGATAATAATCCAATCTGTAACTGAGATTAAATACTTAGGGGTATATATAGATTCAAATTTAAAATGGGACAGTCACGTAAATTTTGTGATAAAAAAACTGCAAATGATCTTGTATAAATTTAGACAACTAAAAAAATGTTTACCAGAAACCCAATTAATAAAATTATATTTCGCCCTGGTCGAAAGCCACATAAGGTATGCAATTCCGGTTTGGGAAGGGGCTTTAAGGGTGCATCTAAATCCTTTAGAAACACTGCAAAAAAGATTTTTAAAGTTAATTACGGGAAAAAATTTTATATATGCTTCAGACAGTTTATATTCTGAAACTAAAGTACTAGACCTAAGACAACTATTTTATTTTCAAACAAACATCAAATATCATTTTAGTACTAAGAAAGCCTCTAGTCATAAACACAGCTATAATACGCGTAATAATAAAAAACTTACTTATCCAGTAATACTAAAAAAGTCAATTTCACAACGAGCTTACTCTTATATTGCTGTAAAATTTTATAATTCTATTCCTGAACCATTAAAAAAAAAACAATACAACCATGTTTAAAAAAAACTAAAATTATTTATTTTAGAAAGGCCAAGATTATTTACACTAGATATTTTAGAAGAAACTAAATAATACCAATACAATCATAAAATAATAATAGTAAAATAATAAACAAAATATAATAATTCAAATAAAAAAAAAAAACAATAAAATTAAAATGATCAATACTTACTGGATTAACAAACTAATACATGGATTTGACACACTACTGGACTTGACACAACCCAACTTGACACATTACTATCTGGATTAGAAAAACCCATATTATATTCCAAGTCACGACAGACTAATATGTATAATATATTATTTTTTTCTCGTTCTTTTTTGATTTGATTTAAATTATGCCCAAACTGTAAATTGTATATTTTATTTTAAATGTGTAGTATATATATTATTGTATATGTATGTATATATTTACCCTTATGTGTATGTATGTGTGTATATATAGGTGGATATTTTAATATTTATTCATTATATTACAGCGAAACAAGTACAGTAGTACTTATCGCTAAATACTTTATTCTACAAATTATTTATGCGTCTGAAATTTTTTATGTAATTCTATTTTTATGTGTGAATAAAGGTTTATTATTATTATTATTTTCGTTGTAAATTCCAGACCAGGCTATCTCGTATCTCCGACAACACGAGTCCTGACTGGCAAAAATACTCACAACTTCTCCCTGCTACCTGCAGAGTAAGAAATTATGAGTTCCGATTCTCGTGAGTTCTGAGCAACCTGAGTGAGCCCAGAATGACAGCCTTCTGCATTTCGGCGGCTATGTTTTCGGGTCTATTATGGCACGCCACCATTAATCTTAAATTAGGAACCAGATTATTTGTGATACCACCCAAGCAGCCAATTACCAACACGACAATTTTTACGGAAAGCTCTGGGTACAGTCTGCGGAGGTCGAATAACAAAGGTTGATATTTTGTCTTTTTTTCCTCTTCCTTGATGTTTATGCTGGTGCCGAAAACTCAATTACGCTCATGGTTTTTAGTTGGTGATCAATAAGCACCATATCGGGCTTGTTAGCCTGAATTCGATGGAGGGTTGGGAACGGGTAATTCCAATATATCCTGGCTCTTTCATTTTCGACAACAGCCTCCATATCCATTTGAGCGTATGGTAGTAGCGGTGCCTCATCTATACCGTAGAAGTGCCTCAGGTGATAGTATAGCACTTTTAAAGCCGCATCATGGCGATGGATATAATTAGTGCTAGCATAGGTCTGGCAAGCTGATAGAAGGTGCATAACAGTTTCGGGTGCTCTATGACAAGCTCTGCAACTTACGTCTATCAAATTTATACCCATCACTTCTCTACGATATACTAAAGTGTTATAAACACCATCTTGCACCGCCACAATAAATCCTTCCGTTTCGGACTTAAGTCCACTAGACCTTAAGAAAGCAAAGGTTAGTTTCTTGGACAGCCCGCGATCCTCAATGTTCTTGTAGAAGATGCTATGCATGGGCTTATCCATATGAATGCGAAGGTTAGTGTCACATTCAGCTTTCTTTATATGGGACTTAAGTCGAGTAGGTTCAAGCTCTGTTATGGAGTTTCGATTTGCTCGTCCTGGATCAAAAGCGAGTCCTAGATGTTCAGAAGCTCGACGAGCTGCTCTAAATAGAAATGATCCTACTCCTTGCTCCTCATGGCTTTTAACTATTTGGAGAAGCGGGTCCTGGCTCCTAATAACCTTACAGGCCGCACTTAGTACCATTCTATCGTGCATACACTCCAAACTTAATAGCCCTCGGCCTCCCAGATGACGGGGAACATAAAGCCTAGGGACGGACGATTTGGGATGTAGACTGCGGTTCATATTTAGCATCTTTCTTGTCCCTCTGTCGAGATTTTTCAGCTCATCTACCGTGTACTTAACTACTCCGAATGAATAGAGTAAAATCGGCACGGCAAGCATATTGGTTGCGCCTACTTTATTTTT